ATGTGCTAATACCCTTGGGAAAGGTATTAAACCTCTTCTTCTACCCCCTCAGCTATGGGTAAATAGCAGGACAGACCATGTTCTATAGCCTTGGATGACTACAGGTCTACTGCAGAAAGAAATGACAACCTACTCTAGTTTTAAAAAAGAATTTGCCTCTTCAGTGATCGCCTGTGTGTATCACGCATGGCACATAACTGACTGAATGCACAATTGAAATCCATGAATATTCATTTTTCAAGAACTGTATTATTTTTTTCATTGTCAAATTTTGATAAACTATATTTTTTGCAGCATGCATCAGAATCTTGAAATCCTCATTGTATTTAGTATTGTAGTTATCACTAATATTTTTTGTCAAAATTTACAAATTCTGTTTCATTCTATTTCGCAAACCAATTGATGAAATTTGAATAAGAGTTGTTTGGAAAAATACTTTGACAAAAAAAAGTCTACTTCACAGTTTAATAATTTCTTTAATTTTATAGGACTTCATGGTAAATAATATTTTTTAAGAAAATTTCTTTTTTTTTCTTTTTTTTTTTCTTCCTTTTTAACAGTGAAGAATAAATTCTTAGCATTTCTTACTCCATGTGTAAATATTTTCTGGAGCCAAATTCCAACTTTTTAAAGTATTTGGTCATGTGATTTGTTTATCGTTCTAACACAGGGCAAACTGGAAATTAGATTCTTGTATATAATAATAATTTGTTTACATTTGGATAAGCTTTGAGCAAATATGAATGAGAGAAAATCATGAAGAATTGTGTTTAAAAACAGTAAAATCAACCTTGCTAACCTGAACAATAATTTTTTTTATTAATTTAAACACATCAGGCTATATGATGGTTTTGTATAGGATACAGGTTCAATTCCTGTCAGAGGACACATATTTTCTATGAAAATTTCTCGGACATTCAGGCCAGTAAATGTTTAACAAGCGGTTTTATTATAAAAACAGAGCATTTACTTAAATATTTGTATCTCTAAAAAGAATGTATAAAACATAAAAATGTCTTAAATTTATATATATATATATATATATATATATATATATATATATATAAAATTTAAAATAAAGATATGCAAAAAAAAAAAAAAATGTTGCAGTTTTATTAAGTATTTTTTATAATAATCATTAAATTGTTTTTTAAAATAGCGGTAGTATTTTGTATGTTAAATAATAAAACTTAATTTTTCCAAAAATTATTGTACTAAGCTATACACCCTAGTAAAACCAACCATACTTTGTACTCTCTTACCTGTTTGCACTTCTCAAAATTTGACAGACTAATGAAAGTCACAGAATTTTATATATAGATGTGGGTGGGCGGGGGTGCTTCATATATCTACTGTCTCTGTTTATTCAAGAGGCAAGAGTACATGACATAACTTAAGACCAACAAAGAGGACCATTTTATGATTTAAGATTTAATATATACATTTATATATATATATATATATATGTCATCCACAGACTGTTTGGCTGTTTCACAGCTCATCAGTGTGGCTAGACATCCAGTTTTGCCTCCAGCTAGGGTCGAAACCCAACTGAACTGGTGTCAGTCAGAGATTCTAACCATTAAGCCATCGGAGAAAATTAGGGAGGAAAGTGGATGTTTAGCAGTGTTTATCTTTATAACCACGCCCAGTGACTGGGAGTGACTCAATTAGCATTAGCGAAGAGTCTCGCTATATAGCTATAATAGTCACTGTTTACCAACCCACATCTCCTCCCCAGAGAGCTCAACTGAAATTAATTTTTCAGGAGCCAATATACCGTCATCCACAGACAGTGGATTTTTAGCGTGTTTATCTTTATAAACACGCCCAAATCACTTATCCCAAAATATCATCATATTCTGTTTGTTCCTTAGTATGTTAAAACACTTCCCAGATAGTTAAACTTACTGTACTTGTTTGATTTCAACATCTATTTACAGTTTGTGTCCTGTTTTTTTTTTCTTGCTGACAAACATACATTTTGTCTTCTTACAATTGATAGTTATTCCTTTCTTCTTGCTTTCCCATACTAAGTTGTTTAGGAGGTCCTGTAGTTTTTAAATTCTGGTAGGGTTCCCAGCTACCTTAGGATGGCCTCACTGTAATGGTTGAATAAATCCATTGAGAAAACACATCCTTACCTTATGCCCCTTTCTGTTTTTGTGTGCCTACATAACTCATTTTCTATCTGTATGCAGCCAGTTTGTTCTATGATTGTTTTGAAATCTTAGAAACTCTGCATTCTGAAAAGCTCAATGTCCCAAGGGTTTTGGATAAGCACAGTAATTGATTTTATTTAGATTTTAAAATCATTTTGTGAAATATGCAATCTGAATAGATCTAGTAACTTTCCAATGTCAAACAGTCGGTCCAGATTTGATTCACTCAATATTTGCACTATATTCACACTATTGTCCTCATCTTCATTGTTCTTATCACAATGTTTCAGTTGTTGTGCCCTCTGACCTTTCTCAGGTGTATATTTGATCTGAGAATT